TCCCATTGCTGTAGTGAATGTCTACACTGAAGCGCTACAGTGGTGCACCTGCAGCTATGTCGCTTTAGCGGATTAAGTGTAAGCATAGCCTCAGTCACAGTTTATTTAAAGAACAGAAACTTTATTACATTTTCAGCATTATTGTAATTTTCCAGTATTCAAAAATAGCCTAATTAGATAGTAGGAAATAAAGTGTTTGTCATTTGATCAAAGTAGACATAAGACCCAATGAGCCACTGTATTCCCAGCGGTACTGTCTACCCTGCACTACGCTACTTAACATTATAAAGAAGAAAAGCATGTAAACAGTCAGTACTTGAAGCAGAGTTTCTTGTTAAGACCTCGTTATCCATAGAAAAGGAAGAGTTAGACTTCCTAGTTATGGGATTTGAAATAAACATGTAAAGTGTCTTGGATTTCTGACACCTCTGATTTATAAATAAAAGCACTTGAAATCTGCAGGGGAGAGAAATCCATAGAAAATGTTGTACCTTTGTTTTTTTTCTCTTAGGAAAAAAATGTGCAGTGAGTCTCCATTCTATGCAGAATGGGGGAAAAAATCCACTATTTATACAAGTTATTCTGTTTGATGTCAGCTGGCTAAATTCACACCAGTTACAGTAGCAAAGTTAAATAGGAGCAAGGAGTAGCAATTAATTTTTACTATATGCTGCAATAAGCCTGATCACCTTTTAATGAGGGTTATTCTTTAATATTTGTATTACAGTGGTGCCTTTATATGCTTCTCAGGACTGGTGCTCCCCGGGACGGGTTGCTATTCAGACATGAAGGCATGGTATGTCACAAAGGGCTTACTGTCTTAAAGCATAAAACATATGATGACATACAAACATTGCATCAAAAGAGGGTTATTTAGGTTGTAAAGTCACACACTCAAAAGTTAGAAAATGCCAGAATAACGGTTGCCAGTTCTGCCTCTGTGTTTATGCATTTTGTTAGTATGTGATCATATAATTAGCAACCATATATTTTTCCACAGGGCCGCTGCCTTTTTCAGTGTCTTCACTGGCATGAATTCCTCCAGTATACCTCAAACCTTAGCTGTAGCCACCCTACTTTTGCAGTCCTGGGCCTCATGTGAAAGGGAATGCAAATCATTATACAATTATGAGTTATATGATTTGGGCAGTTACATTGTTGCAGTACTTTTGTGACATTATCTCCTTTTTTGGCAATCTCCAGCAAGTACCTAAATAGAACAGTGAGCTAAGATGTAAACCCAAAATTCCACTGACAGATACTGTCTTGGGCTTTATGCAGGCCCTCTGCACTGAAGTGAATCTCCCATTTAAAGCTCACTGAAGAAAATATATTAATTCAGGCCCTTAACATCATGGTGCAATATGTTCTGTGATTATCTTTTCAAATGTATTTAAAACTATTTTAGTTGGTATTTTTATTTTAAATTTCCAGACAGAGACCTTTGCGACTGAATTCCTCTGTCCATAAATGAGGAACAGCACAGAGTAGTGCAAGCTTCTGCATGCGGTTTTGCCCATGTGCCTCAAATCTGATCTGATTAGGATGCCTTTAAGAAAGAAGATGGTGATTAAGGGCTGGTCTACACTGGGGGGGGGGAGGTGTCGATGTAAGATACGTCGACTTCAGCTACGCTATTCCCGAGCTGAAGTTGCGTATCTTATTTCGACTTACCTCGGGTCCTCACGGTGCGGGATCGACGGCCGCAGCTCCCCCATCAACTCCGCTACTGCCGCTCGCCCTGGTGGAGTTCCGGAATCGACGGGAGCGGGTTTGGGGATTGATACATCGCGTCTAGATGAGACGCGATATATCGATCCCCGATAGATCGATTACTACCCGCCGATTTGGCAGGTAGTCTGGACATACCCTTACTCTCTATGCCCATCCAATCCTGTCCTGTCTGCAGAGAAGTGGCCAGCTAGAGTGGTGACTTTTTTTGTGATGGGGACACTTGTCTACTAAGAAGTGAACAGCAGCTATTAACTATTTTACATAGGATACTGACCTGCAGGGAATTTAGAACAAGAAAGAGTCCAGGTGACAGCAACAAAGACTGTTACACTCCTGAGGTACCTGTGAAGAAAGGTTGGGGGGAAATAAAGTTTATATTAATTAGAAACAAACTGAGATTAAACATGACTGAGGTCATGCCTTTGCTTAGAAACAGTTTCTTATCACTGCAAGAGTTTATCTACTTCATCATATATGGGAGTGGATTAGCTACCACCATGAGAGCAGATCAGGGTTGGTGAGTGAGGGAATAAATGTGCCATCCTCTCTGATTGAGTTTTAAGGAGCCTTGGCAATGAGATTGTGTGCTTCAGGGAGCTCTGAACTGGGTCTTGCATTTATGTCCCTCATGGCTGGTAATCTGGAAGAAAACATCAGTAATCTCAGTCGGCACATAAAGTACTAGGATTCCCTCAACTGAGAGCTTTATGAGCCGTGCTATTTATTTATTCCTGTCTCTAGCTGCTTCTATCTCCCCCCTCTCCCCCCCCCCCCACCAAAAAAAGAAATGAGAAAGCAACTTCTTGTGGCTAAGCAATTCTAGCATAATAGAGAATCTTCTGACTGTTTTGAGAGCATTCAGTCTAGCTTTAGGTGATTAGTCCACTGATCTTGTTGGCTGATTTTCTGTTAGTGGACAAAGTTGGCATTCTTGTTGGTTTTGTTAGTTTCAACAGGGGCTTTTGAAACTGTTGACCATAAAAATCTTTAAGTCCTCTGCAGTTCCTGTAAAGGGTGAATTGGAGTGAAAGTGTTAAGCCTAATTTCTGCACATATGCCTAATTGGTAAAGGCTACTTTTTAAATTACAAGCAGGCAGTATTTGAATGAGTTAATCTGCAGTTTTAATGAAATAATAGTGGGATTTATATTTCGGAGTGCTTACTTACCTCCATCTGTTATTTACACTTCATATATAGATAACTTTTAGGATTTTTTTAAAATTCTCCTACTTTAGTTCCTATAATTAGGTTATTTATGGAAGCTTAATTTTAGCACTTTCAATCAATTTCTTACTCTTTTTTTCAAAGTTTAGCGTTGTATGATGAGCTCATTGTGTTTGGAACAAGGAAACAATTTCTTCCTTAGAAATATTGCATTTCCGTTAGCTGTAGTTGCTATCTTTTAAACTATAAAAATGTATTTCCTTAAAAAGCTGCCAGAAGGATTTGACTATTCACATACTTAATTATTATTATTTGTGTATCTTCAATTTTCTGTGTAATTGAGACTTCATAGGGTATAGCTGTAGTTTTGCTTCCCAAACTGGGAAAAATGTCTTATTTAATGCACCTTTTCATAGACAACTGGCTAATATTCAAGCATGTTTGGGAGGAGAGTAGGTGATGCAAAAAAAGATTTAATGAACTGTTAAGGAATAGCCCAGAGCAGGAAAATGAACTAGTGTGAGGTTCCTGTAATGCTTTATGCAGGCTGGACTGTGGTTTGTTTATTCAGATTACTAGATTCATCAACATGGGTTTTTTTTTTTTTTTGGTATGCTTATGACTTGTCTTTCAATTCCAGCTTTCTGTTTTGCCAACAAATTATGAAAGAGAATGTCCTCAATATAAAGAACCAAGTTCTTAAGGCCTGGGAAGTCCCCTGTTGTACAGCTTTTTCAGGCCCAGATGTTTTGGCTGAATTTTCTGCTCGTACCTTTCTAGAATAAATTGCCTTCGTACTTCATGAGATTCAGATAAACCACAAATTCATTTTAAAGTACCGTATATACTCATTCATAAGCCAAATTTTTTTAGTAAAAAAGGGAAGCGCTAGAGACGGGGGTCGGCTTATGAACAGGTATCGAGAGGGAGAGGTGGGACACAGCCCCTCCCCCCAACAGAGGGAGCAAGGAGAGGCAGTACAGCCAGCAGAGACAGAAGGGAAGAGGCGGGGCCAGAGTCTCTCCACTTCTGGCCACGCTGCTCTCTCCCCAGTCTCTGAAGCAGCTGCAGCTCTGGGGCTGGCAGGCTGCAATTGCGCCACTGGGCCCCGCCCCCCAGAGCAGGCTGTGGCCGCGCTGCCCGGTCACCGGAGCAAGCTGCAGCCATGTCTCCCGGCCCAGCCTGCTGGAACATGCTGTGGCCGCGCCGCCTGGTCTGGCCAGCCAGAGCAGGCTGCGGCTGCGCTGCCCAGCCTGCCGGAGCAGCTTCAGCCAGGACACTTTGTGCCGGGACACTTTGTTTACTTAGGTTTACCTCCGTACCTGCAGACGCTCGAGGTAAACAAACCATCTCGGCCCACCAGCGGCTTATCCTGATGGCCTGGGAGCCAAAGTTTGCTGACCCCTGAATTATAGGGTCGGCTCATGACCGGGTTATAAAAAATTTCCATTTTTACTTATCCATCTTTGGGGGGTCAGCTTATAAACGAACTGGCTTATGATTGAGTATATACGGTAGTTTTGAATTTGTAGGTTGCAATTAAGTTGCCTTTTTTGTATAAGAAAATAATTGATAGGCTACTCTTGAATGGCTATTCGCCACTTTTAGATGTGTTTAGGAAGCTGCAGGGAAACGAGAAATTTGTATAGCAGAAGGCCGTTTTTTGTGAGGAGTGATTTCCTTCAAACTTAATCAGGAATGTTACTGAAGTAGCTGAAGTTTACTTTTTTTAAAAGTGGTTTATTTAATTCGCACAGTGAGGAAAATATCCTTAATAGCAGGGTTTATAGTTAAACACCATGATCTGAAATATGGGTAGCTTGCAGCAAAATATAGAAGTTCTACATTTTGGTCACTTGTCATGTATTCTGCGTTGTATATGGGCAGATCTGAAGGTTCAGAGGTATAATTTAGTCTCCAAAGTCATTAAATGTTTTGGGATTTCCCCCTCTCCCCTCCCCCACCCACACTGAGTTAGAAATTAAATTCCTCAAGGAGAAAGGGAAGGCTGTTAATTTCCATTATGTGCACAAATATTTGATAGATCATCCTGGTACAACACTCTGGGTTAATGTGTCTGTTTGTATCATTTTTAACATAGATAAATACTGAAGAACATGTTGATGCACCTGATGAGATAATTTTCTGGGATCGCAGTATTCCTGAAGACATAAAGGAAAAAATACAGCCTAAAAAGGTCCCAGCAGAAAGTGTGACAGTGTGGATCGATCCATTAGACGCCACGCATGAATACACAGGTAACTGTTTTGTTTTGTTTTTTTAAATTGAGCTAAATATTTAATTCTGATTTTTTTCCCTTTAGATAGGAGACAAAAATGTAATGTATTTTCAAGAGCATTTATGCAAGAGTTGTTGTTTGTTAGAGCTGTTGTGATTTTGCTGAACTACTCTTAAAAAGGAGATCCCAGGTAGATACCTTGGCCACAGCTGTTTTCAAAGCTTAGCACTGTGTTGACTCTCGAGCTAGATGACACTAAAATACATCTGATGATATTTGTCACTTATGTGTGCAGTTGATTAATACCTATTTCTTATGCTTGAATAGCCAGTGATGCTATATTCTAAACAAATTACTTTAAATTCCAGTTGAATTCTCTGTTCCCGGGCTTGAATTAAGAAACCGACATGAAGTTAAAATGCATCACATAATTATAAATCTTCCCCTTCTCCAAAAGACTCATGATGCTGCACAAACTATTTAAAATACAGTATAGTGCAGTTAAAAACCTAACCAATATAAACACAGGTAAGTTATTACAGCAATCCTAAACCAGTGGTTCTTTTCCTTGACAATATTGCACTGGTATGATGGTAATCATGTATGAAAATTCAAAACCTAGGAAGAACATTCAGCTCTAAAGTAAACAGAATGTAAAATGAGGTGGAGAATGGGAGGAATTTGTTCTGCCCAAATCTGCCACCTTCATGTAAGAATCTTTTGCTTAATGACCAGGTGGCAGAATTGGGTCCAGTAGGAGCAGAGTGCACATCTACTGAACAATAGAAAGTATGGGAAAACTGGGGAGTTTTTACTCTTTATAATATTTAATGCTCTTTAATATTTTGGTAACTGTGGAATGACTTAAATCAAGATAGAACAAGGTCATATCTTTTTAAAGGATTGAATTTAAAACTCAGGCTGTTTTAAAGCTTGAAGGATAAGCTCTCCGTACAATCTATTAATTTACTAATGCTGTTCGGGTATTGTGTCAATATATGTAAGTCTATAAAGTCAGGTCTTTTTTTTTGTTTGTTTTTTTTGTGTGTGCTCTTAACCTATGTGATGTTGAGCTAATTAATTTGTCTGATTTCCTGGCCCCTTCCCCCTCAACCCCACCCCTTAGAGGATCTTCGACAATATGTCACTACTATGGTGTGTGTGGCTGTGAATGGTGAACCAGTAATAGGAGTAATACACAAGCCTTTCTCAGCATATACAGGTATCAGTATGCATCTCTCATTTTTTGTTTCTGCCATTTTCACTGACGTACAGTTAAAGTTTTACATTTGAGGGAGAATCTGTAGTTATAAATGGATACAATAATACTTAACACAGGAAAACAAAAATGTGTCATTATTACTTATTTATATTGTGGTAATGTCCAAAATCCTTAAGATTGGGGCACCCACAAACCACAGGAAAAAGTGATCTTTGTGGGGCAGAAGAATGGTACATGAAAGAAACATAAACCGAAAATACAGTTGTTGATGAAGCTTTTTCATTGAAACATTAAGAACAATCTCTAAAGAAAATAACATTGCATATATAGGCCTCTGTTCTATCACCCTTATACTGAGTAGCCCCTTGCTCACACAGGCAGTTTCATTGAAGTCCATACGACTGCTCCCACGAGCAGATTATTTATTATCATGAGTAAGGGTAGCAAAATCAGGACCTTAATGATCTGGGGCACCTACAGAAATTTTTCCTATCATACCCACTATGGCCCCAGCACCTCACCTGTCAAAGTCTGCGCCTTCCAACCCAGCGTGTCCAGGTGCAGTGTCCTGATGCTTTGGGGGGTTACCTGAGACGACTGTGGTGAATCACTACCACCAGCTCACAGCAGGAGGGAACCCTGTCCGTGCCCACTCAGGGAAAACACTCCCAAGCCACCTGCTGCCAGCAACATAGGTGCTCTGTTCTGGGTGCCCGGAGCCCCGCTCTGTCCCAGTGCAGGCTAGCAGTTTACACATCCCACTCTTACATTCAAGTGCCCAGTCCCTTATCTTCTGGACACCTGCAAGGTACACCAGTTCACTGCCTCCAGAAAAGCAATGCATCCCAGTTCACTGGTTTCACCTTAGTTCAACACACTCCTTAGCACAGGGTGTTTAGACAGGTTTGTAGTAAAACCACATTGAAGTTTATTTAACAGAGCTTGAGATAAAGATTCAAATAAAACCAAGTGTAAGGTTTTGGGAGCATAAGGTTGCAGGTAAAAGAAAAACATAAGACACAATCTAATAGCCTATACAAGTTACTTTCCTGTCTAGTAAGGTATTTCTCACCCAAAGGTAGTCCTTGCAGCACTTGTTCAGACCAAAGAGCTGCCCCACCCCGGGCACGACAGTTGCAATGCCACTCACTCAATTTTGGCCCTGCAGTCTCTCCATCATGATGGCCAAACCTGAGTGGGCAGTGGGGTGGCCAGCGCTGTTCTTCCTCGCCACAGCCCATGCTATGGACCCTGCGTAATGTGCTCCTGACTGCAGGCACCACTGTTAATAACTATTATGCATCCATCTTTCACAGTTTTAAACACAAGACTTTCTTGGGGGAAAATCTGTGTACAGTAACTCCTCACTTAGTCGTCCTAGTTAACGTTGTTTCATTGTTATGTTGCTGATCAATTAGCGAACATGCTCGTTTAAAGTTGTGCAATGCTCCCTTATAATATTGTTTGGCAGTCGCCTGCTTTGTCCACTGCTTGCAGAAAGAGCAGCCCATTGGAGCTAGCTGGTGGGGGCTTGGAACCAGGGTGGACCGGCAGCCCACTATCAGCTCCCCGCTCCTCTAAGTTCCCTGTGCGGCAGCCGCCCAGCAGGCTATCAATTGCCTGGCAGTTCAGCTGTCCCTACCCCCACTGCCATGTGCTGCTCCTGCCCTCTGCCTTGGAGCTGCTCCCGGGAGCCTCCTGCTTGCTGTGTGGAGGTGGGGGGGAAGAGGGGTGCTAATGTCAGGGTGTCCCCTTCCCCCCGCTCCTGCACCTTGTCTCCACAGAGCAAGGGGAGGACATGACACGACAGGACTCAGGACGGAGGGAGCTTGCTGGCAGCAGCTGCTGTCTCAACTTGCTGATCTACTTAAAAATGCAGTGTACTTAGAGTGGGGTCAGTGTACTTAAAGGGGCAATGCTTCTCTCTCTCACACACACGGTGTCTGTCTCTCTCTGCCATGCTGTCTCCCCTCCCTCCATTCCTGCTGCCTTGTAGAGTGTGAGGCTACATTAACAATGTGTTAAACCTTGAGGGCTCAGCCGAGTGCTAGTTCATCATTTAGCAGTAAGGCATTCCCTGGGAAATATCCCACCCTCTTCCACCCTCTGACTTCATCATCTCAACCAAACTTCACAATCATCATTGCTGTGTACAGTATTAAATTGTTTGTTTAAAATTTATACCGTGTGTGTGTGTGTGTATATATATGTGTGTGTGTGTGTGTGTGTGTGTGTGTGTGTGTGTGTGTATATGTATGTATATACACAAAATATATATAAAATTAGTCTTTTATCTGGTGAAAAAAATTTCCTTGGAACCTAACCCCCCTATTTACATTAATTCTTATGGGGAAATGCTTAAAGTTACATTGTAGTTATGTTCCTGAAAAATGATAAGCGAGGAGTTACTGTATTCCAAACATGCAGCACTCACATACAGAATCTCTTGATTCTGTCGAAGCACTGATTAGGATGGATGCGAGTTTAAACATACACATTCAAAGACAGGGTATTGCCAATAACTTCTGAAAGGCTCAAACAGCAAATTAAGTGTTGAGTATATTTGAAGGAAATGTGTTTTATATTCCTGGATAGTTAAAACAGAGGCTGATAACATGTTTCCCTTAGGCCATACTGACCTCTAGAGTCCAGAGAAGTTATATAATAGCTCTGACTAAAAGCACCACAACTAAGCTTGTTCAAATGAACTAGGTTTTCTATCTATTAGAATATTCAGTGTTGTGATTTTTCCCCACCTAAGTATTACATTCTTTAAATGCTAACTTTAATTCCAGTTGTTTATCATTAGCACTTTATTTTCACATTTATATGTATCTTGGCTTTTTCTGAAGCACCTGCCACACCTATTATTGAAGAGCTGATTTTCTTTCCAACAAAAATTCTGTAATTGTAACTGGGAATTTACCACATTCTTTCTTTTTAAAAAAAGAAATCTGCAAGGATAGCCCATCAGAAATCTTCAGGAATGGCATCCAAATAAGATTTTTTTTTAAAATGTAAAAATATAGTTAGTTGTATTACTCAAGATTAGGGATTGTGGAGGGTAACTTTCCAAACTGGAAATGCCATAACCCTTTGTTTTGTCGTGATCCTGCTCTACCACATAGATATAAATCAATAAGGGGGAGCCATATTTAAAGATTACAGGTTAGTTCAGTCTCTGCCCACATAGTCTCAGCCTCTCTCCTGTGCTGAAATCACCAAATAAATGTCAAATTGTAATGGCTTTTGGACACAGCCTATCACGGGGTGGTTTTGAACCAGTAATCTAGAAGCGGAAGGCTATGCATACTGAATTCAGTCTCCTGAATCAATCAATGTTTTCTGAAAATAAACATGTTCATATTCTTCTCTCGATCTGAAAGATGACAGTATTTTGTTGAATGATGGGAAGGAAATAAAAGGTAAAATTTCACAATCCATTTGAAATGTAGTCAATTTAAAAGAATGAGCTAAAGGAATTTCAGGTAATATCTACATTACATCTGCCCCTGAATCTCCCTGTGAATTTTACAGTCACTTTTTTCCAGTTTTACAATATTTTATCTATTATGAAAGATTACAGTTGAACCTAACTAGACATAAAGTGTTCTAAAATGCACTAAAACCCACTAATGGAATGTATGTTTCCTTTGCAGCGTGGGCAATGGTGGATGGTGGGTCAAATGTAAAAGCTCGTTCCTCCTACAGTGAGAGAACTCCAAGAATTATTGTGTCCCGCTCTCATGCAGGAAAAGTAGAACAGGTAGCACGGCAAACATTTGGAAATAAAACTGTGATCATCCCAGCAGGTGGAGCAGGTTTGTTACCTTTAAGCATTCCAGACATTTTATTGCTTGTGGATTACTTAGTAAGGAAATAGTTATTAACTGGAGAAGTGACCAAAAACAAGTAACTTGCAGCAGAAGTACTGTACTTCATGCACCTAGAACCCAAATTTAAACCTATTTCAGATTGTGAGATGGGAACTGAGTGACTAAAAGCACTGGTTAGTTGGCAGGAAAAGGAGTAAGTACCCAAATATTAGGCACAACATGAAACAAAGGAAAAGAGAGTACTGGGTACATTGAGAGAGGAGCATTTTGGGTGACTTTTGCTCTATGCCAAACATTAGAAAAGATCAGAGTGAAAGTGGCTGCTATGTTAAGAAAAGGCTGATAATCATGAACAGAAACAGGAGTTGTTGCACTGTTTTACTGGCGTGAGAAAACAATAAAAAGATAATATAGCTTCAGATGTACAAGCTGAAAATTTTAAGAAAAAGGAGTTCAGTGATCTAAGAATCTAATAGTCAGTTCCAGGAGTGATCTAACTACAAGCAAACAAATTGGTTGGAGGGTTTTTTATATTAAATGTCTTGGCAAAATTGGTTCATGGCATAGGCGGAGTGTGCCTATATGAAGGGGGAAGCACAAGTGTGAAGTAATTACCCACTTCAAGATCCTGCAAAATGCAGGTAATTTCTGAATTTCGCAAAAGGGCATCTTCCAATTTTGTATGGACAGCTATATCTGTTTTTTGTTTTTTAGAAAGGATGCAGTTAATAATATCTCATGTTGATGAGCTGTCATGGGTAAGAGAATGAGTCTAAAGAAGTTGGGTTCTGGTTAGCAGGAAAGATGAAAGTTTAATTGGTATAGCAGATATTCCATTCCATTTGGCAGCATATAAAAAGGGGGAAAGGTTTAGCAAGAATGAAGAGGATGAACTGTACTGTGAAATGAGTGAGTAGGGAGCTTTGTAAAAGAATGAAGTCAATCAATAAAATGAAGAAAACTGATTACATGCAAAGATTTTTATGAACTGGAAATATGTTTGATATGCATGCCAGCTAGAATTAACAAAATGGTGCATTTGGGAGTAAAGTGGAGATAAGTGATACAATTGTGGTAAAGCAAACAAGCCCAAGAGTGAAACACTATCATTTAGTTAAATGCATACACAATCTGATTCTGTTGATGTATCTGACAAACCAGCAGAGGATGGTGAAAAGGAAATGATCATGGGCAAAATGGGTGTGTTGTAGTGGAAAAATCTTGATTTCAGCACCTTGCAGGAAGTGTAACAGAAGGTGAAGGTTTCTGCTGTATTCACCGTTACATTCTCAACTAACATGACACAGTTAACAAAATCATTTTAGTAATTGCTAATAAATGCCATTATTTTGTGATAAATTAGGAAAGTTGATGTTTTCATTAACTGATTTACCTTTCTAATCTTTAGGCTATAAAGTTTTAGCCCTCCTTGATGTGCCTGACAAGAAACAAGAAAAAGCTGATGTATATATTCATGTGACATACATCAAGAAATGGGATATATGTGCCGGGAATGCCGTGCTGAAAGCATTGGGTGGTCATATGACTACCCTGACTGGTGAAGAAATCAGTTATACTGGTTCAGATGGCAATGAGGGGGGACTCCTAGCCAGTATCAATGTGGATCATCAAGCGTTGGTTGACAAACTCCCAGATCTGGAGAAGGCATCACATAAACAAACATAACTGCTGAGGAGTACACACATGGTTCTGCAGCCTCAAAATGTTCAGCCTAAGGAAACAGGCATGAGAAGAGCCTGCTACGGGACTAGGCACTGAGAGCCAAGGCCACTCGGTGTTTTCTGGGGGACTACATATAGCATCAGGCTTCTTCATTGGTGGTGGTTACAAATTCAGAATTAGGAAGGCGACTGAACTGTCTCATGCCATCTTTTATCTTTTGAGACGTTTCCATACAGTTATACTCAAGGTGCATATACAGTATATATTTTGTGAATATAGGCAAACTAAAAGAAAATCCAGATGGGTACTTATAATAATCTAAGTGATACTTTTCATATGGATTCTTGGAACACATCACATTGTTACAGTATTGTAGCCGCCCCATCTTGAATCAGGTAGAAGAAAGGATTGATTTATGTAGTCACTTGATAATCCATCTAGCAGGAAATCTATGACCATGTGTTCAATATTCCCTTGGATAAAAAGCACAAGTTGCAGACACATTTGTGTCTGCTTTCAACAGTTCCTCTGACAGAACAGTATTTTTGAATGATCAGACATGTTCTGTACTAGTTTGCTGATATTTTTTCTGAAAACTTAAACCAGTTTAATTCACGTGAGAAAATCCTGAATATTGGTGGTTTATTAATCAGTGTAATTATTTCTGTATATCTTTTAAAAAGAAAATAAGTGATTCCTTGTGTGGGTTTTTAACAAACTCTTGTCCTTGATTTCCGTTTGCAATGTTAAAGGTGCATGCTAGATTTTTCTCTAATGTGAGATTAGTTCAGTGTTTGTCCCTGTAGAAGCAGCCTCCTTTCCTTTAATGTCTTTTTGTTCACTAAGTTACTTAGCAAACACATACGACAGTGGTGTTGGCAACAGTAGGTAGGTGGTTTAGCTTACAATATGGATTTAAACTAGCAGTTTTTTAGAATTCCAAAATTAACTTGCTGGCTTCTTAAAGGTTGTCTTGTATGAATTCCCTTCAAAAGATGTACTCTTTCCTTCTTCGCTGTAAGCACTCTAATTCTGAACAGTCTGTGGCCACATGTTCACCTTGTAAGTTCACCATGGAATTTAGCTCTGCATTAAATTACAACATTTTCCCATAACCCAAAATGGGTTTGGGAAATTTTTGGGGACCTGTGGGATTGCTGTACCTCAGTTTGAAATAGGACACTTTTTAATTAATTCCACTTCCGAGTTTTAGCCCAGTTCACATGGGACAAAACACTAGCCCTTTGAGGTCAGATAACAAATAGCTGCACCACTAAAATCTGTGGGCCTCTCTCTTCTGAAAATGTAACTGTGTAACTGGGAGTCTTCTTAGACAGGTGGAAGAATAATATTTAATAAAGCAAGTTAAAATGTACTTTTTTTTTTTTTTTTTTTAGTACATGTGGGTGTCTCATCGTCTCAAGGAAGCTAAAAGTTTCATTTAAACATAAATCTTTTTTTTTCAGTTCTATGTTTATTCAGTGCAAGTATAGACCATTTATGCAAAATTTATATTCCCCTGGTAAAAATTTTAATCTTCACTCCAGTAATCATCCATGTGGTAAAAGGAGGGTGACACTGCCTACAAAATAACTTCATAGTTCTTCTTAAATCAAGAGCCTAAATACATCAATGACTTCCTTATGTTACAAAATAAAACAAATATGCTCCTTTTCAGTGGGCAGATTTATTCTGGACAATTAAACTTCACTGCAAACTTCACTGAAGAACTAAAGTCAACGATTTAGCAAGGCTTTAGTAAGATTATTTTGCAGGAGTACAATGTATTTTTTTTCTCCTTCTGTCTACTTTAAAACTACTTGGGGCCTGATTAAAAAGATAGCACTTTTACTACTAATTAAAGAACAAGGGTTAAATTTAATCCTAGAAATAGCCGTAGTTAGCACATTAGTAAAAGCTGAATGCATCATAGAGATAGGGCATAAGGTGTTAAATAATACTAAGGCAAAGATTTATTTCGAAGGTTCGGATTGGGAGATCATGTAAACTTTTCCTAGTAAGTATGTGACTATTTACTTTGGGGCTGATTCTGCCAACCCTACTTGCATAGAGCTAGATTGTGGAAAAGACTGCATGCCCATGCAAGGAAAGTAAGAAGGGATAATAACTCCCCTTACATCCCTACATAGGCTACTTAGATCAGGGAGTAAACAGAGATATTCACCTGCTTAATCTCTCCCCAGAGCAGGTGACCAGGGAATGGGCAAAGCTATGACTCCACTCCCCCTACTTGCTGGCCACAGCGGCTAGCCTTGAGACTATTTGCTTACAGTTACTGCATCCTTAGGTGTTTTGCTGCATCAGGTCCAGAGTATTCAACACCTTGCAGGATCAAACCTTTATTGTGGGTATCGGCCAGCCGTAAATTACTATCTCTGAGGCCTAAGGAGAAGGCTGTGGAGGAATTGTGATTCAGAGGCATGCAGGGCTGTGCCTAGAGTCTCACAATCTAGCGCAAAGAGGCATCCCCTTGAAGTTGGCAGAATTGGGCCCTTGGTTAACATCAAGCTTTCTGATGTTTTCATATTACAAAAGAATAACTTTTTTGCACAGACCAGCTAGTATTTAAAAGTACTTAAACAGTGCACATCTGGGTTATTTGTGATAAAACTAAGGCCCTGTCTACACTATCCATTTTACCATGATTGTGCTGTGTTCCTAAACATGGTATTAGCCCAGCTTGAATATAACATAGTTTGATCTTGCCCATGTGGTAGGGACTAACTCATGTGTTCAGCATGGTAAGGGATCACACTGTAGCATTATCCTCTACAAGGGCTGGAGCACAGGTCCTTACTTTGGTTACAACAACTCTTTGGTCTCTTCCACATAAACCAAACCCTGTTGTACAATGGCAGTACAATATTTAGGCAGGCTGGTGAAACATAACATAGTGCAGTTGGGGCCTACAATAGTACTTCTATAAATTTTTAATGTAAAACTTCTATCATAGCTACTAAAAGGGAAGCCCAGGATAATGTTTTATTTTGGCACTAGTTTTTATTTTAACTTGATACTTCAACCAATGTTCTAAGGCTTTAGAGTACCTTGATTTGTAATACACTTTGTTTTTCCCAGAACCATGGTTCACAGTAAAAGGTGGTGTAGATGCTACATAGCACTGTACCAAAAGTTCTAATTTGCATTCCTTGAATGCCAAATATTTCTAAATAAATAAACATGGAAATAAAAGGGTTGAATATTGTGCTTACAAAATGGCTTTTGGTTTTACCTATTTTTTTTATGATATAAAAGCTGATGTATGGAGGGTTTGTTCTTAAACCCACTGCTATTTCATAGATTTTAATAGCTATTTGATGGTTATAATAAATTGGCTCAGGGGAGGTGTGGGGTGTTTTTGTTAATTTTGAAAGCAAGTTGGGGAAACCATTTAGAGAAGCTGACCAATGGTGGAGTAGGGGAAACAGTTACTTAGATTCATCTTTTGGTTACTTATTCTAATTTTGATATCATATACCATTTCCTTAGTTTAAAAAACATCAATCAGGTCATCATGCATCATAATGTTCTAATGTGTCTAATCTAATTGTACAAGAGCAAAATTTCCACCGTTAACAAAATGATGCTACAACACACAGGTTAACAGTATAGAAACAGGCAGTCTATTCCTTCCCTCCTCCCAGTCATTTTAGAAGTGAATTTGAGTGCTGTGCTGCCAACTGTACTCTAATGTCAACTGAGTCCTGCAACTGCACTGACACTATCTTGCTGTGGCTTTAAACTTTTTAATGAGATTCTCCCTCTTTTTTTCCTCAGCTTTTCTCTAAAGAGAAAGCTAGGTCTTTAACTGTGCCAATTTAAAATTTTTCTTGAGTGTTTAAAACTGCATTTTTGTTTTGGGGGCGGAGGGAAAAATGTCAGTGGAAGATCTGAATTTAGCTTGAAGGGGTTCAGGTCATATTAAGACTTCTAAGAATGATACATTACTCGGGCAATTTAGATCTCTTGACCCAATTATGCTTGATATTCTTCTGAGGTAAGTGAATCTTATGTTTTCTCTTCTTATTTATCATCTTAATTTTAAAGATTGGTCCATCTCCAACTCCTTCTGACTTCTTAAATTGCTGAAGTGGGATTGTCTAATACTGATTACTAAGGTTAAGATTTTTTTCCACTGTTATTTTAGTAAAAGCTACAGACAGGCCACAGGCAGTAAACAAAAATTCACGGATGCCCATGACCCTGTCTGTGACTTTTTACTAAAAATAATGGGGATGGGGAGAGGACTATGTCTACACTACAAAGTTTTGTTGGCAAAAGTTATGCTGCTTTAATTAACAGCGCTGTTGCAAGTCCACACTATGCTCCTTGTGTCAGCAGAGTGCATCCACATTAGCAGCTCTTGCATTGACACAGAGAGCAGTGCACTGTGATAGCTATACTACTGTGCAACTGGCCGCAGGGTGCTTTGGGAAGGGTTTAGTTACAGTTACCTGTCATGGCTTCAATTTAGTTTTGACATGACTGGAGGTATCTGGAGTCAGAAGATCACAGGCTAATTTTTCTCAATTTTCTAAGTTATTATTTGAAGTATTAAGCTTTCAGCTTATTTCTTTGTGGTAATAGGGTCTGGTTCCAGATAAATTTGTCCTCATCATTGAATGTTCTTATTCATAGTACCTGCTTCTTTTCTTCCTCCAGCAATGTTCAGTGAACTGTATATAGGAAAAGCAGTAGCAGCTCAAGGATTGGCACCCTGGAAATCTTCCCTAATGTCCCAGCAAACTGTATCTGCGTCTGCTGATTGTGTATCAAATGAATAGGAATTCTATAGATAAATCCTCTATTGGACTACGTTGTTGGCTTTGCACTTGTCACATTTTAAATGGACACTTCAATTGATTTGAGTTGTGGTTTATTTGCTTTTCTGCTAAGTTATTTTCAGATACACCTCTACCCCGATATAATGCGACCCAATATAACACGAATTCGGATATAACACGGTAAAGCAGCGCTCCAGGGGGGCGAGGCTGCGCATTCCGGCGGATCAAAGCAAGTTCGATATAACACTTTCACCTATAACGCGGTAAGATTTTTTTGGCTCCCGAGGACAGCGTTATATCGGGGTAGAGGTGTACTACTTATCTTCCTGGGAAGGACAGACTCTTTCAGCCCTAGATATCCCCATCCCTCATATTTGGTTACCATCCC